AACACACAAACACAAACAAACAAACACACACATACACACACAAACAAACACACACACAAACAAACACATACACACACACAAAAAGGATGAAATATGTTTGTAGGAATTGATATGTAGCAGACAAATTTTTTTCCTTTATGATTTACTCTCAAATAAAGCGTTCTTAAAAATTGTTTTAAAAAATATGATAAAAAATAGAAATAACAATAATAATGATAATAACAACAATAATAATGATAATAATTATAATAATTATTATAATAATAATAATGATAACAATCATAAATAATATTCACGATTGAAAATGCAATGATAATTTGTTGGTTAAATCATCGTAGTTAATGTTGTTGTTGTTGTTGATGTTGTTGGCGTTGATGTTGTTGTTGTGGTTGTTGTTGTTGATGTAATTAAAATATGTGATGTTATTGTTGATGATATAGTTGTTGTTGTTGTTGTTGGTTTGTATTTCAAAAAGTGGCCAATAGTGCGGTTGATAAATTTGTTGTTGTAGTTGTTGTTGATGATGTTGCTGTTGTTGTTGTTGTTGCTGTTGTTGTTGTTGTTGAATATGACAAAATTTCTGTTGCGTATGTTGATACCGTTCTATTATATGTTCATTTGAATATTGATTTGGTTGTTGTCGGAAATATTGTTGTTGTTGTTGGTGGTGATGATGTTGTTGTGTAAGATGCGAATTATCATAAAGCTGTTGAGAAAACATAACTGATTGTTGTTGTTTTTGTTGTTGTTGTTTTTGTTGTTGTAGATGTTGTTGTTGTTGTAGATGTTGTTGTTGTTGCTGATGTTGTTGTTGTTGCTGATGTTGTTGTTGTTGGTGTTGGCATTGTTGTAGCTGTCTTTTCGGGTGATAAAGATGTTGTTGTGGTTGATTTTCAAAGTGTTGCCGATAACAATATTGTTGTTGACGGTGTTGTTGTTGTTGCTGTTGTTGTTGCTGCTGCTGTTGTTGTTGCTGCTGCTGTTGTTGTTGTTGATGTTGTTGTTGATGTTGGTATTGTTGCTGTTGTTGTTGTTGATGATGATGTTGCGAAAAGTACTGATAATGATCCTCAAATTTTGGCGGGAAATTAGATTTCGCATTCTTATAAGTGCAACTGATATATTCGACAGCATTGGTGTAGGGGTTGATGAACGTCGAACAACTTATCTTTAATGATATATAATCTTTTGTTCTCGTTGTTGCTATTGATGATGATGATGATGTTGATGATGGTGATGATGAGGATGTTGTTTTGTTTCTCAACATCATTCTGAATGTTGCGTTTATCACGTGGTCTTTGTTCACCAACACTAATGATGATGAAGATGATGGTAAAAATGATGAAGATGATAAAGATGATGATGATGATAAAGATGATGATGATGATGATGATAAAGATGATGATGACGACTATGATGGCAATCACCATAACCATCCCTAAAAACATCATCATCATCATCAACAACAACATCATCGTCATCAACAACAACATCATCGTCATCAACAACAACATCATCATCAACAACATCATCATCAACAACAACAACATCATCATCATCGTCGTCGTCGTCACTTTGTTTGAAAACATCTTGTAGAGACATCAGATCATCATCGTGGCAAAAGTCAAACAGGCATCTGCCCAACAAATCTGTCGTCCTATGCCCTGTTAACCCGGTGACCCTGGTGGTGATGATGATTATTGTGGTAGTGATGACGATGGTGGTGGTGGTGGTGGTAGTGATGATGATGATGATGACCTGAAAAGCGGTTTTAGTGCTTTCGATAAATTTGTTCATTTCGTTTGCTCGTTGTAATATTCGCTCGGTCATTCATTCATTCATTTATTCAATTCTGCATGCATTTGTATACACATTCATTCGTTCATTTATTCATTCATTCATTCATTTATTCATCCACTCGTTCATTCGTTCATTTATTCATTCGTTCGTTCATTCATTCAGTCAACAAACTTTTCATCGACAAATGTAAAAATGCCGGAAAGATTGTGTCTAGCTGAGAAGCATTCGGAATTATTATTATTATTATTATTATTATTATTATTAGTAGTAGTAGTAGTAGTAGTATTGTTATTATTAATATTATTGTTGTTGTTATTGCTGTTTATGTTGTTGTTGTTGTTGTCGTCGTTTTTGTTGTTTAACTGTCTCCGTTTCAGCCTTCCTATCCCGACCAGACACGTCTTAGTTGTTGGGACTGCAGTAGGAAATTTATAAGAAATAATAATAACAATAATAATAACAACAACAATACGTACTGCGTTACTGCTACTACTTTACTACTAATACTACAAATAATAATAATAAAGGTTATAAAAGGTCAATTACACTCTTCCAAAGTTCAGAGGTTCAACAGCAAAGCACACAAACATCGTAAATGAATACGTGCTAAACGACGCATCACACACGAAGCCATAATCGAACCCGGTTACTGCGGAACAGCACCAGGCGACCTTAACCATTAGACCATCACGCCGCCCTA